TACTATGGTATTATTTATTGCTTATTTTGCATTATTAATTATGATATTCTTAATAATAATTATTATCATGAATGTATTCGGGCTAAAGGATATCTGCAATGCAAACGGGTGCATAATATACCATTATGGTCAATATGGATTCCAGGAGCTGTGTTGTGTATAATGTGTATCAACAATATGATTATATAGCTACAGTATAAGACGCCTATCAATATAATTATTGATACAGGTAGTTCATTAAAGTGAATCGTTTTCAGTAATGATTGACGTCCGTTTGATACATATAGATTTAAATAATATACAATATAATATAGTACCTATCACCGTTTGCAACACACATTGTTGGTAATTGGGACCTCCTCCCGGCCTGACCTGACCTTAGCCTCCCCAAATATTTCCCAAGTCCCCCATCCCAAAAACAGGGCCGCTGATACACTTATCACATAAAAAAAAAATATTGTACTATATTTAAGGTCATAATCATTAATAGTATTTAAAAAGTATAACATAGTTTTATTTATTTGTTTTTATACCTCTATAGAAATATTACTATGTTAGATTTCATTTATAGCACATGATTTAATATTTGTAATTTACCAGTTTTTACACAATGTTGGTATAACATTTATAATAAAAGGACCAAATTCCGTGGTTATGCGAGTTTTTTTTTTCCATTTCCATTTATTAGTACCTAATAGCTTTTTAAAGTTAAAATAATAGTCCCTCCAAAAGTTCGACTAAATCTCAGTCTCTAATGGCAGAAGCTTTACCTTTACCCGTGTTATGTGTTAAATTTAGAATAGTAAAAAGGTGTAAACTTTATTGAAATCCGTTGTAAATAATAAAATATAATCTGCTTCCTATAGCAGCATTATAGCTTTCAGCGATACGTCATAATCGTGATTCACTTGTTACACGCAGCACTCGCGTATAATACATGTACAACGGTGTACAGGTTAGGTTAGGTATACATATTCATACAGGTGGTCCGTACATAATAAATTGATACCAATGCAGCTAATATAAATCGTTTATCGTTAAAATCTCGCACCCGAATAATAATTATATTATTATCACTTTATGTGTCGTATAAAAATATATAATATAGTGTATTAAACAAGTTTAAGTCTCACTGCGTGAGGTCGTAAAAGAATTGCCTATTTTTTAATAGACGAGCGTATTATATAGTTATAGGTACTCACCACGCAAAACGCAATTATTTGCATGTCGTATATTATATATATTATTAAATGTACATAGGTATAAGAGTAATAAAAAATGTAAAAATATATAAAAAAAAAATAACGACAATATGATATGTCACAAGCGTTTCCTGCGAATTGCTCACACCATATTATAATACGCATACGAACATGGCGAACACGCTTACACACTGCACCAGCGACGCGAAACGGTTTGATGTATTTACCGTTTTTCCGCGAACGGATGCGGACACAAGGACGCCCGAGAGCGCCTATATGGCTGTACAATATATTATAACACGTATTATGTACTATTACGTATTTCCCAACCGATTGTGTACAGTATAATGCAAGTTGTATACAGGGCGATTAGTGAAGACAATGACGCGATGCGAAGTCAAACTTTCGACGCGCTGCAAAAGTTGCAGCTGTTTCATATTATATTAAAAAAAACAGCCATCATTGTCACACCCCACGAATTGCGACATACTCTCTCAAAGCGCTATACAAACCACAAGAAGCTTTTCGGATAAAAAATAATAATAATATATATATATACGAGTATATTTTACTCGTAATAATCATAATATAGACTATGCATACGAGCCAATAATACGCAAAAAGATTTTAAATTGTTAACATATAAATAAAACGCTGAAAAAAAAGCTCAATAATTAATAGTGTGATTGATGGGCATTTACAACGAATCGCATTACATTACGGTATTACATGAATCAAAACCTAAGTATAGTTTATAGTGTACTATTTGGTCGATACGCATTAAACAAGTTTTGTCGTTGCTTTTTTTAGGATGTTTGTAAGGAACTTGTTATGAAGAAAGTAAAAAATAATTCTAGAGCTCATATTACGTTAGCTTATTAGGTACTATGTAAAATATTTTATACGATTTTTCACGTTTTATCGTGAGAAAATACGTCATACCAGCAATTTGTTTACATATAATATATTATTATACTTCATCATGCGGCAGTACTCGGAGTATATTTTTTAGGGGCCGGAATTTAATTGTTTATTGAGGATAAACTAAGGCTATAGGAAAAAAGAATAATATAGATGATTTCATTAATATTGACTTAATTAATGCTAAAAATGTCAATATAATATGATTCAGAACGATTGGCAAGCAATCCAGCATATCATAATATGTTCAAAAGTTAAAAAAAAATTGAGGGTAGGTTGAACCCGAAAATACATGTCAATGAGAGTACCTGTAAGCAATATATTATTATGAACTATATATATAACGTGCATAATTTCACAACAACACGATGTCAGACGTATACGCAATTTTAATTCAAACTGCAGCAAAATCAAATACAACAATGTCATCGACGTCGCGAGCTTATATTATACGACGCGACGCCGCAACGGATAGGACAAAATTATATCGCTAGGTATGTACATTGCAGTGTTGGGCCAATATCTACGTAGGTTGTAGATTAAAATATATCATCATATATTATTATATAGTTATGAAATCGACGGGAATATTATAATATTATATTATTGAGTCCATATACCCTGGCCACGATAACGTATTTATAATAATATTAATATACATTTATACAATATAATAATATCACGTCATAAATCTAACGCGCGAAAACACGTTCGAGTCGGAAATGACACGCTTGTCTAGCGAGACTTGAGCATATTACACTATACCCGTAATAATAATATTTTATACATATATTATATTATTATCATTGTGTATAGACGAGTTTTCCTTATGCGTCCTGTCACCGAGGCGGCCGCCGCTATAATATTATTATCCGACTTCGATAAGTTTCGATTTGCGTCCGTAAATAATTGTAATACGATTCCATTCGCGTGGGTCGTCACTCGTCGTCGCCTCCGGGCGTCCGAAAAAAATCGAAACGGCAGCCAATCGCGTCGCATTAAATATTACACGACGACAACGACCGCGGTATTAAAATAATCATAATAAATACACGGCCCGCTGTCATTGTGAGCATTTCGGTTTTTATTTCCTTTATTTTTCATCATCAAACAGTATTACGTATTATTATTATTATTATTATATTTATTATTTACTGGGGCGAAACTGCTGCCGGTTGCCCCGGGAGAGAGACTACGGAGGCATCTCAATGATATTATCATCGGTGGCCCGAACGAAGTAAAATATATATTAAATATATGCATGCGTACACTATAATAAACAATATACATAATATAATTTACATATACGGAGTGATCCATTCAATTGGCTACACACTGATTTGCAGTCAATTTGCGACAATTAGTTAGGTACTCTTTTATTATGTAACATGAAATACCTAATTGTTACGCTATACCTACGTATTTTTTTTTTTTATCACGTTGGATTTAATGTAATTTTCTAAATGATAGCGTTTATTCTTTATTAAATAATATATTATTATTATAGAATCAGAATATTTTTCTTAAATTTCTGGTGTTTATGGGTAAACAGTCAGTATCAAATATTAAATAACTATTAGAGTAGGTAAGTAAAGTATTAGTAAATAATATCAACAAGTGTTCCAGCAGCAAGTTTAAACGAGCGGCGAGTAATGTACCGCAAGTCCGCAACTTTTTGCAGGGTATTCCTCTCTATTTTACACTGCTCACGTATATACATTTTTAATACTTCTCTACTGTTAACAAAAAAAAAAAACTATTCACTCAATATTCGATATTATATTACTTACCCATACTTTGAAACTAAGGATTTTTTAATTTTCATATTTTTCAACATTTTAAAAACTACTCGGAAATTATTGTGGCTAACTGGATCACCCTGTACATAATATATCCGAGTGTGTGTGTGTGTGTGTGTGTATACGTTTATAACGGCGATAGTAATAATAAAAAATAAAAAAATACAACTTTATAATCGAATCACATTATTATACGGCTGCTGCCGATAATTACAAATCCGTTTATAAACGAGAAAAAGCCCTTCGGTTACCTACGGGCGACGTGTTTTCAATTATTACCGTCCGAAATGTATATTATATTATTTCGCCGACCGCTGGTAGTATATAATAATATAATATTATACATAATATAATAACACATGATATACAAGTATATATTATACGTAACAGAGTCGTCATAAATCCGGTCGGTTGTCACCCTCAGCTGCTGCTGCTGCTGCTGCAGACACGGCGAGCTTCGGTCACTTCAACCTAGTGGCTAGCAGTAGAGGTACCTACTAGGGGAGGAGGGATATTGTTTTTTCTCTCTCTCTCTCTCTCTCGAAATACTATACACTCTAATGGAAAACCGGTACGTTTAATCACGAATGTAATGTAATTTATATTTTACACACACACACACACACAAACATATTATGTGTATTACCTATGTAATATGCATATACTGTACACACACATATATATAGGTACATGAATATATATCAGCTTTTTATTCTTTTTTTTCACCGCGGCGGGAAAGAAACCTATACAGATATAACGTCATCGTGTAATAACATAAAATGTAAAGTATCGGTTTCCCCCCGGAACGCTTAATGATATCTGGATCCTAATCAATTCCCGCCGTCGCCTAGCTCTAACTGAATATTTAAATATTAATCGAACTACCCGCATTCGGTCAAACAGGTTTCCTCGCGGGATTCGTCCATTCAAAAAAAAAATAATAACAATATAACAATATTATTATACTATGACCACGACGCGATTTATATCATTATAATATTATTATTATCGTCATTATCATCATCATCGTCGTCGTCGTCGTTATTATTATTATTATTATTATTATTAAATGTTTTACCTTGTTCGGCGCGTTGCAGTACCAAGTAGATTTATGGTCCATGCCAGTGCCGATCTGTAACAAACAAGATACGAACGATTTTAATCTCGTGTAGGTACAAATTTAGTAATAATTCGTACGCAAACATTTGCCACTTAACATTTTAGATAGGTAGGTTAGAATCGGATATATCTACAAGAATATTTTATCTCATTTTATTTTATCATTATTATTTATTACAAATGTAAAACAAAACATCTGTACAATAATAATTATTATATACAATGATTAATGAATGATGATGTTATGTAGTATTATAGGCAATATTTATACTTGTTAGAGGTGTGAGTGGCGTGAAGAGGAAGTCACCTTTGTATTGGTAATACCTTGTTTAATTATTTATTTATTATGTATAGTTTAATAAATTACGATTCCAGTTGCGTTTTAACCAGCAAGTATACTAAAGAGTTATCTGCAGGAATAAAAACAAGGCCACATTTTTAGTGTTGGAGAATGACTTGGAATGAAAACGTAAGTATTTTTTTTATATCCAAGACGGCAATACCAATAATAATATTATTATAAGTTAATTTGAAAGTATAGCCAAATAATTAGTAGGTTACAACTAGTACAACCATATATTTTTCAGGGGGGGTCCATATTAATCGTATATTTTGGACTTCCCTGTTGCACCCCTGAAAATAATATTATAGGTGATATCCATCATGATGAGTACCTATAATTTCTTTAAAAAGCAGACCTAGTCTTCAAAAATAATATTTTTACATTAATTAATTCAGCTAATATCATGACGTGTTTTTGTTCGAAAACTATTTTAGAGCAATTTATTTTGAATCTAAAGCAATAGCATGTTTTTAGGACTGGAAATCGCCCGTTAGACGTCGCATTAATCATCATCCGTTTTTCTTCCATCCCAACCATATAACTTGTACCATATTTTTCTCGATCATCCATTATTTTATTTAATGACCCATCATCATCATCATTATCATCATCATCATCATAAACTTTGTTATTAAACGAAGTCTATTCGGATACTCATCATAATAATATTATAGTAGAAGTAGATAGGTACTATATAGTTAGGTACACGTATATCAGTTGGTTTTTCGCTGAAATTATAATATTATGGTTGTCGTCGCCTATCATATAGATATGATTAAAATAATTTGTAACGAGATATCTCATAACGCCCGAGGTACTTAACTCGAAATATCGTATAATATACGATTTTAACGAAAATCCAAAATACATAATATCACGAATTATATAATATAAGTCAAGCGAGAACTGTAAGATTACAACCAAATGTATATAGGTTTGAGTATTATATTATACGTTTATACGGTGTATTATAATAGCAGTATCGGGATCAATCAATTCTCGACCGGTTTTTTCTCGTACCCAAATTATATCTTGGAGTGAGATTATCGTTACTTGTTATTAAATCGAGAAATAAACATAATATTATATTAATTTACTTATCCGTTTGTCACTATATAATCATAATCAATTGCGTACACGAACGCAGGTAACTATATGGCACTCGCATAATGACTATGATTATAATTCTTGCAATTATTTTCCACGCACCGATCAATTAATTGAAATTCACGGACAACAAAATCTTATCGTTTATCAGTATAATATCATTGATTCGAAACAAAACAGTTGTGATAAAAAATATACGTAAGACATAACTGTATACTCTTGTCGCAAGTGCAGTTTGGACGTTATTATAATACACCGGCAGTCTCGTTTTCTGAATTATTTTTTGAAAATTGTTTGTTAAATATTAATTTATCGCCTGAGCTTATCCTCCAGTCTTGGCCCGTTGATACCAACATATATTAATAATAGCCAATAGGTATCTATGGCATGGGTACCAGTTGCGTTATCCAACACTAAATAATTAAAATAAAATATCATGTTCCGTTTCGAGTTTTTGGACTCGATAACAAAATTCCTCAAATATCTTTAAAAAAAAACGTTACAGCCAGTGCTGCTATATTATTCGGGTACACAACGTAGGAAATGAATTAAAATATAAAATAAAACGTGACGTATTAATAACAAGCGTGAATCCAGAGGTAAACGTATAATTAAACCTGCGCAGCCATACATAATATATTATATTGTACATTATACGATAATAATACGGCAACAATATATTATATGATTTTACGATAATAAATCGACTCATCGTTCGGCCGCCGGCAAACCATTCAATTATCTGCCTATAAATTGTTTTGCTCGCGTTGATTTTGCTGGTGGGTTTTCGTGAATAAAAAAATAAAATTACGAAAAATACCAAAAATCAGTCAACTGTCGTATTATTTATTGATATAATATAATAGTACCTATTTTGTTTTGTTTTACGACGTACAATAAACCTCACGGAATCTGCGCGCGCGCTTTCAGTACCTATACCTATTTTTTTTCCTCCCGGTGATTTTTTTTTTTCCCCCAGGAGATAAACACGCCATTACGGTCATATAATAATAAGGTGTTAATTTCTCGCACTACCCATGCGGACGGACAAACACGTGTGGCGTCGGCTTTCGTTCAAACGCTCTGCTGCATCAATGACACCTGTAATAATAATCGAACGGCGGCAGAAAACAGTCGTGGTGGTTTATTTTTCTCTCGTACGTTATTGTATTTTATAATGCATACGAGTCGTAACGATTGGTATATACCGTTGTTTGTTTACCGACCAGGACGGTTCACTCGGTTTTCACCGCGTACACCAATATAATACGCATTGATAGGTATAATACAGGACGATTGTTTTCACCATATTATCATATCTCGCTGCACAATATTATATAGGTATTCACTTTTTTCAAACGTCTCGCCATCGTCGATAAGTTTTTCACTTGTTTGTACTGTCGCAGTACCTATGCGTTACGAAATAAGCGTGTAAACGTCCATACGCCAAAAGCAATCATACTACTCAAGTAAAAACCGCTCGTATTGTCTCCGTCTTACTACACGACGCATGAGAAACCAACATTTACTTTCAGCAATTCCAATTTTGTATTCCAATAGCTTAAATATATAACTCGGAGTGAATTGACTCAAAATCAAACTTAAAGTTAGGAAAATATTATCTACTGTTTGTGTTCTATCGTTGGTTTTATATGGTATTTAAATTCTTAAGCGATTTATAAGTATAATATTGTGTAAAATATAGATAAATATGCGGATACGGAGTCCTCTCAAGCTTAAAAACATTTTCAGTATAGACGAGCGGAGTGGAATGGGCACAGAGGCAAAACGTTGGTGAACCGTGAAACATGAGATATAAACGAAGGTAAAAAAAAGAAAAAAACATTAAAAACGCAATACAATCAAACAATTTCACAGAGTGAATGTTTTAAAAAATTAACGCTTTTCGAGGAGATAACGATAGAGCGTACGCTGTAAAAAGAATCACTCTGTATAATATATTTCATGATATATATATATATATACCTATGTGTAATATTATTATGTACATCTTATATTAGTATTTAGTGTGCACGCACACGCTGACACACACGCACGAGCGTAGATAAGATAGGCGAAGAGGACACGTCAATATATATACAGATACACACACGAATCGTTCGGGAAAGTGGTCCCCGCAGATCAAATATTTACTCAAAGAAACCCGTTTTTTCCGACTTTTTTTTTTTTATCATAGATACCGAGAATGAAAATAAACAGCTAAAACGTATAGGCCATATATATATATATACGTATTGTATTATTTGTATATATATATATATATATATATATATATAATATTGTATTATGCGCGCGTGTTATGAGATCACCTCGAGAGCCACATAAAATATTATACATCATAGGTACACCTATCTCTATAATAATAATAATAATAAGCGCTTTCGAGTTTTAAATTTTTTTTTTGTTTCTTTAATAATCGTGTGCAACCAGCACTCGTTATTGATTGTCGTACGTATTACATATATTATTATTGTATAGGTAATAATCATTTTTCACCCGTTGAATCGCGACGATTTTTTTAGACATTATAAAACATAATATAGATTTGTGAATAATGATATCGGCCTTTTCTGTACTTGTAAGACTTGTTTTTTTTTTTAAATTTAGAAAGAAAAAAGTTTTTTATGCAATAGTTTATTAGTTTTTTATATTTTTTTTTTATAATATTTTGATATGTCTGCAAAGTTGAGCGACTATATTAAAATATCGAAGATGTGATTATATTATACCGCTGTTGCATTAACTCGATATTCTAAGCTCTAAGGCTTTTTATCGCTTTCTGCCCGTCTATGCCTTACGTCCACTTCTGACCGTGGTGTTTACAAACTATACACACAGAGTGGGTTCGACGTGGGCAAGTGGTGGCAAGAAAATTACCAATGTTTGGAGAACTTGAGTGCGTCATAATTTTACACGTACATAATATTATACATATCATTATGCGAGGATGAACTAAGGAAACATAATTCTCTATATTCTTATAACCATACTTGGTCGCAGAAAAATGCATTCGTTTAACTCATCATGATGTACATACATATAAAGGCATAACAATATTGTTCTGAAGCCACAAAAATAAAATCAATTTAAATTTAAAAACTAAACTAAAATATAATAATACTTATAGTAACAACTCGATGATTGATGAGCTTATATTGATTTGTTTTGATTTTTTGTCATACGCTCGCATAAAACGCATATAATATGGACGTGTATTTAAATTCCGTGGCGTGCAGCACGTACCTAACCGTCGGTGCAATTATATAGTCATTATAATATATATTATATAGTGCCATTCGAAATTATAATACAACGTAAGCTCGTAGGTACCTCAATACGGATATGACCGTTACATATAATAATATCATAATATAGTGTGCACGCAGTTCAGTTGACGGATATATTTTATAATAATATGATTACAAGCTGCGCACACTGCACGCGGCCGAATGCCAAGCGCGACAACGTCTAGTCTACTCCTCCGGTACAACAGGTAATCGTGTTTATTTTTTCGTTTATATATTATTTTT